GTTCCTTCCTTCCTCACACGATCGACAAAATCGCTGCTCCTTCCTTCCTCATTGATCTTGTTGATCGTTGCTCCTTTTAGACAGAGACTCGATCGTTGCAGGTTAGTCTTCTCTTTTTCTTCTCTCTTCTATTTCTCTTTTCTTCTTCTCTCTTCTGGTTCTGGTTCTGGTTCTGGGTTGGTTTTTTTTTTTTTCTGGTTCTGTTTTTTTTTCCAGATTCTGATTATACTCTTTTTTTTTCCTGATTGTGCTGCTGTTTTGCTGTTCTGAATTTGACAGTGTTATTCTATTTTACTGTTGTGCTACTATTTTGTTGTTTTGTTTTGCTATCCTAAAATGTGATTTAGTACGTGTATAAGCCAACGAATGTACATAAAAATATTTAGTATATATAAAATTAGAACTTAGATATTTAGAAATAGTTAAACTAAAATATTTATTATTTTTTTTAACTCTTCGCTTCGCTTCGGTAAAGCGTGTCGCTTCGCTCCTCGCTTAAGCGTTAAGAGCCTTGGTCGCTTCAGTTCGCTTTACGCCTTAAATAACACTGAATGGAGCCATGTTGATCATATTATGTTCATCAGATATGTTTCTGATAAGATAACTGTATTGATTGTGTATGTGAATGACATAGTAATAACTAAGAACAATGTGCAAACAATCACCAAACTTAAAGTTCAATTGGCTAAGGAGTTTGAAATCAAAGACTTGTGTCCATTGAGATACTTTCTTGGGATTGAGGTTGCTAGATCAGATAAAGACATTGTTATCTCCTAGTGAAAGTATGTTCTTGACCTTCTTGAAGAAACATGCATGTTGGGATATAGACCTACAGATTCTTCTCTTGAGGTCAATCATCGATTTAGTAGTAGAATTGGTGATATAGTTGATAACTAGAGACATCAGAGATTAGTGAGGAGATTGATATATCTCATACTCGTCCAGATATTGTTTATGTAGTGGGTCCAGTTAGTGAGTTCATGCATGATCCTCAAACTTCTCATCTTGAAGCTATTTATCATATTTTGAGGTATCTCAAGTCAGAGCTAGGAAAAAGGGTTCTGTTATCTAAACTTGGTCACTTGAAGTTAGAAAGCATTTACTGATGCAGACTACTTTGGGCTACTACACTTGATTGGAGGAAATCTTGTTACTTGGCAAAGCAAAAAACAAGTAGTGGTAGTTAGGTCTAGTGTTGAGGTTGAATATAGCGCAATGACGCATAGAATTTGTGATCTTATGTGGCTTAAAACCTTACTAGAAGAGATCAGAATTCAAGAAAATGGGCCTATGAGGCTGTATTGTGATAATAAGACTGCTATCAATATTGCTCATAATCCAGTTCAATATGATAGAAACAAACATGTTGAGATTTACATGGAGAACCAAACATGTTGAGATTTACATGGGGGATGAGAAGTCCTTTAAACATCACTTGGGGGATCTTAACCCTTTCCCTTTCAATTCATCAGACCTTAACTCTCAAAATAACACCATCAGCCCCAAGAGCACTTGAAAGACTAATATCAAAAACTTAGTGTTGTCCTACACCAAAGACTTGCATGGGGGATGAGAAGTCCTTCAACAAAAAGAATGTAAAAGTAAATATAAAGAAATAAACCCAAAAAATTACAATATGATAGAAACAAACATGTTGAGATTTTCACGGGGAACCAAACATGTTGAGATTTACATAGGGGATGAGAAGTCCTTTAAACATCACTTAGGGGATCTTAACCCTTTCCCTTTCAATTCATCAGACCCTAACCCTCAAAATAACACCATCAGCCCCAAGAGCACTTGAAAGACTTATATCAAAAACTTAGTGTTGTCCTACACCAAAGACTTGCATGAGGGATGAGAAGTCCTTCAACAAAAAAAATGTAAAAGTAAATATAAAGAAATAAACCCAAAAAATTACAATTTGCAGACGGATTTGCAATCCATCTTGAAAAGTGAGGGCACACACAGAAGCTAACAATCAAATTCTTTCCCACGTGCACTTCACTACTTCGCACTTACCTTCAAAGATTCTTACAATTTTTTTTTGAGCCAAATATCCCAAAAGATAGCCAAACGTGCACATCTCCATAGAGATAAAACTTTTTTACTCCTTCCAAAACACCAAAACTCAATTCCAAACATCCCATCACAAGAAGATGGTACAATTCCACACATCTATGCTAAACCATACAATCTTCTCTACAATGACTAGGCAAAAGGGCAATGAAGAAAGAGATGATTAATACTTTACTCATTCCTTTTACACATGATGCACCATTGAGATACCAGAGAAATATAAGGTCTCTTTGCCTTTGAAGCAAGTTATTAGTATTGACTTTCTTTTGAGTAGTAGTTTAGGAAAAAACTTGAACTTTAATATGTATTTTTGCTTTTCAAATCATCTTGGCATGTTCAAACTATGGTATAGAAGGATCATCAATCAAGGTATTAAAAAATCATTACATCATTGAAAAAAGAAAAATATAATAATAATGAAGATGATGATGATGACAACAATATTTGAGGGTGACTTGTAAAATATAGGCTAATGTGGATTCTTTCTAAAGATTAGTGAAACATGTTAGGTTAACATCGGATGCTTCTGTAGGAGGTAATGGTTTTGTGCCTAAAAAGATTGAAGGGATGATGCGAGAGTTTTTATGGGAGGGTAGGGGAGAAGGTAGAAAGGACCACTTGATTAGTTGGAAGGTGGTTTTGAAACTTAGAGTTAAAGGTGGGTTAGCTTTGGGTAACCCACCTTTATAGTCTTTCTTGTCATCACCATGCTTGTATTGTTTCAATGGTTAGGTCTTTTTCTTTCCTTGTGACATGGGACTTTGGTTTTCGTAGGAGTCTCAATGATAGAGAATCAATGGAGATGGTTTATCTTCTTTTTTTCCTTGATCATGTGATGTTAAACCAAAAGTCTATTGGTAGGAGTTGTATAATTGACTCATTTGGGGCTGTTTTCGTGCAAATCTTATTTTGATTCTTTGATAAATGACACGACTCCCAATTTTTTATTCATCATTGAAGATTCGGAAGGCGAAGGTGTATTTTAAAGTGTCATTTTGTGCATGGGTTATTGCTTATAGGAGAATCAATACCAATGATATGATCCAAATAAGGTGTCCTTATCTTAGTCTTTGCCCACAATGGTGTGTTATGTGTAAAAAGATAGTGAGAAGGCCAACCACTTATTTTTGCATTGTTTAGTTGCATTGAAGTTATGGAATAAGTTGTTTGAGTTGGTTGGGATGTCTTGGGTGGCTCCAAGTTCTATTTCATCTATATGTTTTGTGTGGATTTTAATGGGTTTGGAATAAAGGTAAAATAGTTATTCTTTGGGAATGTGCGATTTTTGCTACTATTTGTGGGTGATTTAGTTGAAAAGAAATGCAAGAATCTTTTGAAGACAAATGTGAGGTGGATGATGGTTTATGGAACCGTATTTATTTTTTAGCAACTTTTTGGACCTCGGTCTTTGAAAGATTTTAGAGCTATCCCGCTCTTTGGCATTATGGCAAGCTGGAAAACTTTGAGTGAATGATTGTCTTTTCCTTTTGTATTTTCTCATTTATGTTAGGCAAGTGTTTTGTTAGTTTTGGTTGATAAATGGACCAGTGTTTTGAAAAGTGTGCCTAGGCGCTCGCTAGGAAGACCTCAAGTGAAGCGAATGTGAGTGAAACGAGAAAAACGCTCGCTTTTCACTTAAGCGAAAGGCGAAAGGTGAAAAAGCGAACGCTTGAGTCATTAAGGGCGAAGTTTTATTTTTATTATGGACCATTGGATTGGACAATTGGAAAAAAAATTATAAGATATTGATACATCGAAATTATCCCCCTATCCCATAAATACAACCTCAAACCCTAATTTTATACTCAGATTGTTCGCTCCTCCTACACGATCGCTGGGCACAGAACATAGCATACAGAGTCGATTGGTGCTCCTCCTACACGATCTCTGGGCACTGAACACAGCACAGAGTCGATCGTTGCTCCTCCTACATAGAATACAGAGTCGATCGACAGAGTCACTGCTCCTACACGATTGACACAGAACACAGATTTGTTGGTCTCGTTGTTCTCGCTGGAGGTTAGTCTCCTCTTTTTTTTCTTTCTTCTATTTCTCTTATTTTCTTCTCTCTTATCTCTTCTGGTTCTGGTTTTTTTTTTTCTACTTCTGTTTTTTTTTTCCTTTTTTCTGATTCTGATTCTGCTCCTGTTTTTTTTATTTATGATTTTGCTTCTGATTTTGTTAACCACATGTGTATCTAATTGTGCTGCGGTTTTGCTGATTGTGCTATTGTCTTTTTTTTTTTTTTTTTTCTGATTGTGCTGCTGTTGTTCTGTTTGTTGTTCTAAAATGTGATTCAGTACATGTGTATAAGCCTACGAATGTACATAAAAATAGATTTAACAAAATTGATTGATATACTTTAACAAAAACACATGAGGTTGATATACTTTAAAAATAGATTCAGTACATGGCATGCTGTTTTTGCTGATTTTCTGTACTATTTTGTTTGTAGTGTGATAGTGCCATTGACTAATTTAGTATATATAAAATTAGAACTTAGATGTTTAGAAGTAATTAAACTAAAATATTTATTTTTTTTTAACTGTTCGCTTCGCTTCGCTTCGGTAAAGCGTGTCGCTTCGCTTCTCGCCTAAGCATTAGGAGCCTTGGTCGCTTCAGTTCGCTTTACGCTTTAAATAACACTGAAATGGACTACTTGTCCATACTTCCTATGTACCATTTCTCTCTTTTCTTTAATTTTTTTGTTCAATGAAAATCTTGCACAAAAGCCACAGTTGTTCAAAGAAAATTTTTAGTTTTAACTATTATCTTCTCTCCTATTGTCTTAGTTTGAACCTCTCCTTTGTTTCTGGCTGGTGTTATTGCCTATGTGGGAAGAGCAAATTATACAGAAATCGCTAGTAGAAAGCACACAGTTAATTTGACTTTTTTTCGGCTGCTTGTGTTTTGTGGTTTTGATGCTGGTGCTGTGTGATTAATTGGCTAGGGGTTGAGTTTCTCTTCGTATGAAATTTTAAAACAAAGATCTCTCCGCAGAAACACACATCTGCATCCACGCTCACACACTCCTATGTGCACCCTCCCTTGGAAATTTTGTTTTTAAGTTAAATATTCTTTTGGTTCATGCTGTTGACATAATATCTATCTCACGATTTGTACCTACTTGATTAGATTGACAAGTTGCTGTCTTCTTTTCATCAATGGGAACGCATCCATTCAGATGGTGGAGAGGAACTGCATCTCACGAAGGAGCTCCTAGCCGGTTGTGAGAGCATTGAATGGCAGGTACGAATCTGAACTTCGACAGTTCATTAAATCATTTCACCAGGTGTGCTGTTTTGTTAAAGATCAATCATACTCGTGATTGAATGAAAATAGTTAAAAATTGTGATAAGTTTGGATGTACACTCATGTAGTTGCTTTTTTTTGTGATAACATCTTGCCTTCAAAGTTCAACTTCTTTGCCTAACAAAGATATTTTAGATTGCCAACTTCATTAGCAGAAGGCTTCTTGTAACTTCAGCTTTTTATAAGGCAATCCCCCATCTCTGTCAATGCTGAAAATCTGTTTCTGCTGGGAAGGTGGATGAACTGGACAAAGCAATTGCTGTAGCAGCTAGAGATCCTGCTTGGTATGGTATTAATGAAGTGGAGCTTGAGAAACGAAGGAGGTGGACTAGCACTGCTCGTACTCAGGTAGCTTCTGTATTCCATGAGAAGGTTTTATCAATGGCAATATGCCGTGGTTAGGTAATTTAGGTGAAAATGTTTTCCTGTCAATCTAGTTTGTACATTTGGACTAGTTTGGTTTTGAATTCAGTTGTAAACTGTGGACAATAAAATTTTAGGAAATCCTTTCTCTCATTGAATTAGTGTCACTCTTGAAAGATTGTACTTGGTGATTAGGTGGGCAATGTGAAGAAAGCAGTTGTAGCTGGACAGGAGTTAAATGGTACTAGCACTTCCAATGTGAATGGGATGCGCCGAGAACTAATGAGGATGCCAAATTCTCATCAGCCGGACAAATCCAACCAGTACAGAGCTCAAGATAATGATGATTTCATATCATCAGAGTCAGACCGACAGTTGCTTCTCATAAAGTGGGTCTTTTTTCCCTAAACAGTCAACCCTCCTGGCCCCCAAAAATATTGGCTTTGTTCTTTTTCTTGCAATTATAATCCACATTTACTTTTGTTTTCTTACTCCTGTCTGAGAATGTATCTTTGCAGCACAGGAGTTCTGGTTACTTTTTCTGATTCAGGGACATGGATCTCAAATTGCAGAAACTTCTTTCGTAGTTTTTAGCATAGACCCTAATCTCTCTTGTAATTTCAGAGACTATACTAGTCTTTCCTGACTATCTGTGCCAATAACCCTTTTAGCTTTTTGAGGGGTTGAATATTTTAGAACTTTGTTGGTCTTGGTGCAAAAGTGGGTTTGTAGGTGTGTCTCTAAGCATGTTTGAAATTAATTAAGGTTTTTAGTGGTTATGTGGAAGTAACAGTAGTAATGTGGTGTTAGTCGCATAGCAGTTGTAATTATGCCACAACCTTCTTTATTCCTTTGGTTTTGATGCTTTGCTATACATGAGTTTCTATCATAATTATGATTGTATCATTGCTATAGTTCGAACTGTCATTTTGGATGCTTCTTATTTTCTTTGGGTAAAGGAATTTTGATGTCTAATATTTTATTAGTGAAACGTATTTCTTGCAAATTGAAGATTCGTCCTTTTATGATTTGTGAATAGCATTTTGAACATGGTTATCTAAGGTCAAAGCTTGTGAGAATATCTAGGAGGATATCATTATGAATTTTATCAGAACAATAAGGGGGTGATTAATGCTTTTTGAAGTAGCCTCAGGATGAGTTTGTGCTATTTTCAGTAACCTGTTTTTTGCCTATTATTCTCTATGTTTCTCATTATATATGCCTGTAAATTGGTGCTTATAGGCAACAAGATGAAGAGCTGGATGAGCTTAGTGCCAGTGTAGAAAGAATCGGAGGTGTTGGGCTTACTATACATGAAGAACTCCTTGCACAGGTAATTGTTGTTCGGGTTGTAGTTCCTTTCTTGCAATGCTTTAGCATCCCTCATTTATGCTTGTTATAGTTCAAATCACTTATCTGTGATTGTGTTAGTTCAAAAACTTGGCATGAGTTATACATCTGGAGTGGTATCTGTAACTTATAAGCTGGCTGATATCTGTCAAACTTCAATTAGGATCATTGTTGCCTATTATTAAAGCTAAAATACAAATCCTATAATGCTGCAGGAGAAGATTATAGATGAATTGGGCTTGGAGATGGACAGTACCTCCAATCGTCTTGATTTTGTTCAGGTGATTATTTTCCTGTAGATCAGTAGATGTGAGTTGTGTATTGACAAACATACTTTCCATGCTTTTTAACCACTGCAAACTTATTGTCCAACCTGGATTTAAAGTACATGATTTGAGCTATTCTTGAAATTTGTGTTTAATCAATGCTTTATTTGTAAGTTAGTCACGTACTTTTTTGTTCTTCGGATACCATTTCCCTGCAGAAAAAGGTGGCTATGGTTATGAAGAAGGCTGGTGCCAAGGGGCAGTGTATGATGATATTGTTCTTGGTGGTTCTTTTTATTGTTCTTTTTGTTCTGGTCTTCTTCACCTAGATTCTGAAGGAAGAAACCAGGCAGGCAGCATTGGGCTCTATATAGCAGAAGGTATCAATCGGGAATAAAGTTACTGTTTGAGAAATGTAAATGAAATTATTAGTGACACAGGTGGAATGAATAATTTTGTTATGGGCAATGCTGATTTGAACAAAAATCTATTGAAATTTTTTTTTTTTTTTTTTCTTTTTCTCAATTTTACACAATTGTCGTAGGATTGTGATTGAGTTCTTGAGTCACAGATGCAAGTGTTTGACAGGATTGTGTTTTGCATTTCTGTGTTGTCCTCTCGGGGTGCAACTCCTCTGCAGTTCCTCAACAGTGCTATTCTCTTAAAACGATGCCGTATAAGTAGCTTTCTTGTGGTAAACATAAGCAACAAAGAAATTCAGGTCAAACATGATGACGCTTATCTTATCATCTTTACAGTGGGTTTAATTATGACGGTAAATTACACTTTATCCCTTTAAACTATTATCTTTATTTTATTTTGTACTTTCAACAATACAATTTTTCACATTATACTGTAAAGTATCAAAACATCCAAAGTGATTAACTTAATGGGTTGAATTAAACATCCGACATGATTAACTTAATGGGTTGCATTAAGGATTATAAATATTCGACACAGATATAAAATGACACAATTCGATGTCATAGACCTTGATTGATATATAGTTGTTGTCATTGATTAGAAAAAATAATATAATTACATAAGAAAACATCGCGTGTTTTATTAAATAAAAAATATATGTAAGGCACAAAAAAATAATTTTGTTGGTATCATAATTTTTTTAAAGTTTTTATTGTATAAAAGTTATAAAAAGATTAGGCGGTGTCTTATGATTTGTTCGTTTAAAAATATAATATATAAGATAAAGATAATTTATATATATTATCAATATATATATATATATATATATATATATATATATATAAAATAGGAATATATCTCACATCTAAGTATATTATGTGTTTACATTTGAATCCTACTAATCACGTGTCTCACCAACACCCTTTCAAGGGCAATTAAAGTGAAACAAAGTCGATCAATCAAAACACATCTTGGTAAGGACAACCATCTTCTCAATGATATAATTAGTATTAAATAATTATATTAACAAAATTTTAATTTGAAGGTGCAAATAATATTTTTTTGTACTTTTCCATGCATGACACAGATTTGTTCTAGTGTATATTAAGAAAACTAATTAAGCGGGACCGTTTCAGGAGAACAATATTAGGGGTGCTCACTCTACCTTATAGATAGAAATTAAGGTATTTTATCTTTTTACCTGATATGTTGTAGAAGAATTTTTTATTGGCTTATCCTACCTGATTAAGTGAATTATTTTTATCCGAATTTTGTCCAAAACAATCGGATAGGAAGTCGGGTGAACACATATTTTTAGTTATTAATTTTTATATCATTTTAACAATTTAATTAAGTAACCTACATTAATTAACTAACACAATAAATCAATAACACTAAAGAAAACACAATAAATTTGATAATACATAATAATTATCATTTTAACAATTTAATTAAGTAACCTACATTAATTAACTAACACAATAAATCAATAACACTAAAGAAAACACAATAAATTTGATAATACATAATAAATATCATTTTAACAATTTAATTAAGTAACCTACATTAATTAACTAACACAATAAATCAATAACACTAAAGAAAACACAATAAATTTGATAATACATAATAATTGTAATAAAACACAAAAAAAAAATAAAATCATAAACATCAATATTTCATATATAAGAAAGCCATAAACATCAACATTAGGGTTTCTAGATTTTTGAATTTTAATTTTTATAGATTAAAACACACGCGAAAATTTTGTAAGTATTTCGCATTCCTACCCGATTTTTTACATAATACTAAAAGATTTTTCGTTGGCCTACTATATTCTTTTGCGTAGCTGATCAGAGAGAAGAAAAAAATATGTATTATAATTGAAAATTAAAAAAAAAAAAGTGGCTTGTAACCTAATCCTAAGACAAACACTAGCATGAAAGTCTATGAGCCAAATTTATAGTTAATCAAATCTATACCAATATTTTTAAAATTAATAATCAATAAAATATTTTTTTTAAAAATAAAAGCTAAAATGAGAAGTTAGTTATAAATCACAATTTTCTTATATTTTTTACAAGAAAAAAAAGTTGGTTAGTTGTGATAAAATTCAAGCATAAAAGAAAAATTATTTTTTTCTATTATTTTCCATTTCATACTAACCAAATACATAAAAATTTTAAAAAAAATTTCTTACATTTTTTTACCATTCTTCCATTAAACAAATGAACTCTTAGCAATGAAGGGAGTGGGGTGTTTGAAATCCACTTCCATACGATCCATTATTTTTTAAGAAGTTTAAATATTTATCATAAATCTATATATGTCATTTGTATAGAATTCATATTCTAACGTAACCTCAACCTCCACCCACGTCTGTATGTAGTCTGTCAATAGATTAAATTTTATAATAAATTAGACTAAAATTCAAATAAGTCGATATGAATTGAATTTTTTAACTGATTATTCAAATCAAAATCCAAAACCGCTATATCATACTTCATGGACTTAGATTACAATTATCAATATTGTATTTAAATTTTACGTAAATGCTTAGAAATATATAGTGTAATAATTTAGAGTTTAACTACTAAAATCAATTATGATGAAATTTTTTGAATCAATATCACATTTTAATCTAATTTGATGTGAATTATGAAAATAAAATTCATTCAATATTTAGTTTGAATACGTCACATTGGATTTGGATTCTTATTATTGAGGTAAATTCAAATCCAAATTCAATCATTTCACAAGGATAATTCTAAAATATCAAATTACGTGATTGGGAACACTAAAATGCAGGCGTGCAATGGTGTGATTGGGTAGGGATTACTGGTTTGACACGTTTGATGCAACACATGGGCCCACTTATCATGAAACAGAAGCTCCCAGCTAAGGCCACCGACTTCTGTGTGGGCCTTTGGGGGTTCCAGAATATACCACCCTACTACGCAAAACACCATCTCATTGTGCAGCACATCATGATAAATATGCATGTATGTCCTACCCGACGGTTATTTGGGTTGTTTCCGTTGCACTATGAACAATCACCTTATTTGAAGTTAAAACTTTCACCTTGCAAATTAAAGCTTGCTCTTTCTTTAGATTGAGCGTCGGTACTTTTAGATTCTCTCTCTATAGGCATGCAAAACAACAGAGTCACTAATTTTTGGGATGGTAATATAAACAATCCCTCACTCTACTTTCAAAAAAATATTTTTGCATGAATCAATATTAACTCCTCCGTCAACTGACCTTCAATTTTGGAGATTATAACAGAAGAATTCCGTAATGGCGGAGAAGGGTTTCGAATAATTATGACCTAAAGTTGGTTTTAGCATGTTTTACAAAAAAATAGACATACAAGTGACTATAAAGACGAATTAATCTAACCTTTGTATCTTCTGGTTGGACAAACGTACCTTCTGCCCGCCCTTCCCCCTTTAATTTGAGAATCGTGTGAACAGAGTGGATAGAACAGACGAAAAGGAGGTCATGATTGATTAGATTAATAAATTACGTCAATAAATTAAATTTAAATAATGTTGTTCCATATATACTAGTGTGAGTGGTTGGTAAAAAGTACAATACATTTGTTTAGATCATTAGTTGGTTGCTATTCCAATTCTTAATGAAACACGGGTAATTCACCAATTTGTTTGTGAGGATTCTTGCCAAACATTGTTGAATGATTAAAGCGCTCAACTCATAATTGGTAAATCCGTAGGTTGAATTTAGGTTTTGATATACCCAAAAAAGAGAGAATAACACGTGGTTGGAGATAAATTCATAAAAATTACCGGGGGTAAATTCATTTTGTTTGGAGTTTTTAGTAGGAGAGAAATGCAAGAATTCGGATCACTTTGACCCCTTTTTTTTAAAAAAAAAAAACTTTTTAGGAAAAAGAAAATTGAGTTGGTGTTCATCTTTAAAATGAAATGTGTACTCTCAAAGTTAGAAAATGAAATGTGTAACAATGGTAACGACCATTTATTAATCATCAAAAGTGTTATTTTATTATATTTAAAAATTGGTTAATATTATTTGTGATTAAATGGGTTAAATTCCTTGATTTTCTAATTTGATACTTTTTCTAGTTGTTTGACTTAATTTGCAGTTAAATTGGTAGATTTAAAGTAATAATAGATAAGACAAATAAAACAATCACCAGAGGAAGAATCATAATTAACAAGAATTGAAGAGTCAAGATTAAGATAGAAAGATTTGAAGATAAATCAGCAATTTAATCCTTTTAAGAGTCCAAGTTTGAAGAAAACTCATTTAAAGTTAGATTAGGAAAGTATCCTAGAAGATAATAATTTGACACATTTTCAGTATGTTGATTATAACTTTTGACTCCGATATCGGATTGACATGATTTTTGTGGGGTTGGAAAGAAGATTTCAAGGGTTACAAAAGTGTATTTCACGAAATATTGTGATTCAACCTCTAAATATGTAAAATTTAAGCTCGAAATCTGAATATATTTTGTACCCGCGACCCCCAAGATTTTATGGACAGGATTTAACCTTAAAAGACTTTTTTTTGGAAAAGAATTCTTGTCAAGCCAACCTTATATCTTCTACCTATATCTAGGATTTATTTTACTATAAATAAAGACTCTCATCTATTGAAAGGGGATGATTTGAATGATTATTATTCTTTTCCCATCTTTTATTTTCTAGTTTTTGTTCTAAGTTCTATGACAAACTAAAAGCCCAACTAAAGATAGCTAAAAACCCAACTAAAGATAGGAGAGATACTTTCAATGAAGCACGATATTTATTATTGATTTAATATTTTTTTAATTCATGATTTATTTTTTTAATTTAATTCATGTCTTTTAGTAAAGTTTTTGCTCTGTATAATTTCTTGATTTGTTGTGTCACGTATATTGCAT